GTCAGATCTTTCGTGGGGGGGGGGGGAGGAAAGCGAGCGGCGCCGCTAGAAGTAGAAGGCGGAGAAGGGGAAGGAGGCGGAGCGGGAACAGGGCGGTCTCCCCTTTCATCTCCTTGCTCCCCCCCGCCCCCCGGCCAGAAATCGGAGCATCGCAGGCGGCTGCCGTCTTTCCTTCTGCGCCGCCGAGATGGATGCTGCAGCCGCGGGCAACAAGGAGCGGGAGGCCGTGCAGCTTCTGGCAGAGGCCGAGAAGCGGGTCAAGGCCTCCCAGTCCTTCCTCAGGGGGTTCTTCGGGTGAGCCAGCGAGGGGGAAGCGGGAGGCAGGGATGGAGCAAGGACCGCTCTCCTCGGGCCTGGAGGAGCCCTCCCTCGGCGCTACCCCCACGCACTCCTGGGTCTTCGTATCTGGAGCACTCTCCGCGCCACCGGCCTTGCCGATCCTCCCCCCGGTTGTGTTAGGCCCCGGCAGCCCGGGCGAAGGGAGAGTTAGTTGCGGGGTGACGATGAGGAAAGAGGGCAACCCTGCTGGAATAGGGGCTCACACTCTGGCTCGGGGTGGTGCCTTCGAGCGGGCGGACCAGTGTCTATTAGGGGCGAAGCTTTGCGGGCGGAAGAGCAATCTGGAGTTTTCCATTCGCACGTATCCTCAAGGGTTGCAGGAAGGAGGGGTTGTAAATAACAGCGGCTTTTTCAGCGGGCCTTAATCTGATGTTCCCACCTGTCAAGCGGCTGGAGAATGTCTGAAGGCCCGCAGGAAGTCTGTGAAGTGACAGGGCACATCTGAGAGGTCTACAAAATGAGAACAATTTTCACCGGGACTCTGGTGAAATTGCAATGCCAGCACAGGAGTTCTCACATTTATTGCAGATACTTTCCTGTGGACTTGGTCACAGGCATGGAACGTTAGTGGAAGTCAGCAGATGGAACCCCAGTATATGTGATAAGGCTGCCATCAAAATCAGTGCTTAAGATGCAAGTCATGGCCTTGATTGTGGCCCCTGGAGACTTTAAAAAGTTGTTATCAGATTGTAATTTTTAGTTGGATGAACTGAACAGGGGATATTATTTCAGTTATTAAATGCATAAATGGACAGTTATGAACGGTATTTAAATCGTAATGTAAATGAGCCTTTCATTAAAGGTGTACACTCTTGCCATAAGGGATCCAAAATAGGACTTGTGTTGTAAATGATCTAGATTTTTGTTTTCCATAGATTTAAGTTTGGCGTAGAAATTCCATTAGTCTGGTTGGATTTCTTATATCTCATGGTCTTTGGGCTCTCCTGTCTACCATTTTTTTTCTTTGTCAATCGAGACTAATGTTTCAGGGAGGCAGCAAAGTAGTCTGCGAATTGTGAAAGCTTATGGACCATTATTTAGTCATCAAGGTGCTGTTACAATGCTGTGCAGCTTAGCTACAACAGACATAAAGGCTATCTTCTGCAATTTGTCAATAATTCCCTTTCATGGCAGCCTGGGGATACAAGAATGTCTGTTTATGGTTATTCATTGATCTACAAGTGAGAAAGTGAGTACCTTCACTTGTGGATTAATTGATCCACAAAGGGGGATTGATGAGTACCAGGAAGATGGTGTTTTGTGTGGTTTCTTAAAGTAGCAACACTTAGCCAAACCTCATCTAGACTAGAAAGTTCAGCAGGGGTAGGCCTGGTTAGCACATGGATGGGAAGACAGAAAATATCAGGAATGTAAGTTAAACTGTAAAATCAACACACCATCCTGGAAAAAGGCAGGAGCAAACCATTTCCATGTTACTACTATTATTATGATGTTATATGTTGCCAAAGAAACAATATGGACATGCCCAGGAAGCCATCAGGAGGTCAGCTTGACAGTTGACAGTTGCAAATTCTCTTTCAACTTTACAATGTGGTTTACTAATTAAGATACTAGTCTGGGATTGGGGAAGCCAAGTTTCATGTCTCCGTTTAATCATGAAGGTTAGCAATCTACCTCAAAGGTCTGAGGTAAGATACAGTAAAATGAGGAGAAACCATCAACGCCCCTCCTCCATGGCACTGCCATTTAGTCCTGAAGAAATGCTGGATGATGATGATGATGATGATGATGATGATGATGATGATATTGTTGTTGTTGTTGTTGTTGTTGTTGTTGTTGTAGAAATGTTTCTATATTTTGTTGAGTTCTAGAAGAGCACTTTGTGGTGATTTTATGACACTGTGTTTCAGTAATTGCCATTTCAATTCCTTTTATGTTACTGCTAATGAGGTTGTTTTGCTATTTACTCTTAGCATTGCTGTTCTACGGTTGTTCTTTAGTTTTCCTAATGTTTTGCATGCCTCCGTAAAAAGAAAGATTACAAAACTATTAAATAAAAAGCAT